CAACCTGGCAGTATTCAGCCCACAAGCCAATCACGGAACGTTTTTCTTCTTTGTAAAGATTACTGTACCATGATTTGCCGGGCACAGTCTGTCCTCAGACAAGTGTGAAATATAATAATATACAGGCCGCTTTTAACGCAGAAGAGTACTTAAAAATTCACCACAATTGAACATAAAATGAGCCAGAGTCTTGTCAATGAGGCGGATGACGTCAACCACCGCGTTCGTTTGGTATCAATGGTAATAAGTCTCAAGATATCCGGGACGGAGTGAATGTCAACAAATTTGTCGATGATACCTGTTATGGATTCAGTTGGTGGACCCGCATGATACTTACCAAGTGAAAGAGATGAACCATCGGAACCAGCTACAGACCTTTTGAGATATAGAATTTTGTGAATACAAAGTCACTCCTAGAACAGTCTGATAAGATGAGCGATGCAAACGTGCCTGATGATAAGTGAATGAATGCAGAATTCAACTCATCGATGTCGGCAGTGTAAAACGTTGCAGCTCTATCTTTCCTCAGGGGGACTTCTGTCCCATGAGAGGCTGATAGAGGGGAGAGTATTCTGCCTTTAAGGAGAAACAGTTTTCCAGGAACAGTACAGGTCGAAAATACCGTTTATTGTTAATGATTATGTTTATAGATGATAGAGAAGAAGCAACAGAAAACAATGAAATGACTATACTTAATGATACGGAGAAGAGAAATCTTGCCGCATGAAAGATTCTTGTTAATTACTTGAATCAGCTTCGACTGAAACGAGCAAAATATTAAAGGAGAATCGATCTGAGTTGAAAGTATTGATCACTTGTGGAAACAGGGGACTTAAAACTAAGGCAGAGGAATTCTTGATGGCTGATGAAGCTCTGCTCATGTTAACATTTCCCCAAGGTCAGATGCTGTCAAAAGGAATATCGAATTATGACTACAATCGCCAACGTTATCAATAAACTGGACGTCGACGGGGCTCATGATCGTAACGAAAAAGAACGTAATCAGTGAAACACAACTCATGCTATTCGAAGAGAATTTACCTCGATGTTTACGCGGGTATTACTAAAACTGGCAGGTTAAGCCCTTGGCTCACGACCTCATTCGAGTGGATATAATGTTATGTCCGGTGACCACGAGATAGAATAATGTACGACCGAAGAACTTTCGGGAACATCAAATGTAACCCATTCATCTTCCGTTGCCCCTGTGTTGATATGAGGTTAACTTTGATATAGTTTTCCCGCAACCTATCGAGGCCTTATGTGGTTCACCACTCCACGTCCCGGGGCTTAGTTCATCAGTTTACATCACTGAACAGCAGGTCCTCGAGATTATGGGGTTCCACCCCGTTTACTGTTCATCACACGAAAGTGTGTAATAAAGAAACTCGTGGTGTTAAGACTTATCTTTTACTTTTAAGGGACTACTTTAGGATGAGTCGGCTTCATGGATGTCCTCGATCTTGCCCTCCCACGTATCGCGATCCGAAAATGGGTTACCACTAATTTCCATTCAGCCAAGGTTCCGTTCCCGGGCACCGTACACCGTTCGAATACCGAAGTACTTCACTGCTGCTCAGGTTATCGAATTCCAAGTCTTCGGTGGGTCACCGTTGGACAGACTCCTGTGGTAAAGCTGGTCCTCGTGAATTAAGTCGACGGCCTACTCAGGACAACCGAACCAATAAAGACCTCTGCGTTGCAGGAAAGCGTACCAAATTTGTGTTGATGCAACCTTAGCAGTTATCTTCTTTGAAATTCCGATCCGTCGTACTTTCGCTTGGAGGGCCCTCATCATTTTAATGTTATGGGCTCCAAGTGGCCTCTTTTCGTAGCGTGCTCAAGGGTGGAGCGAATAGTGGCTCTGGTGACCCAACCTTTGGAACCGTCAACTATACTCCAAATTTTGTATCCCTCTTCTGATTTGTGGTTTACCTTTGATTTTATTCATACACAGGCTTCATTATGAAAGAAGAAAAGCGGTAGGCAGACCGATAATTACTTTTGCATGCACGTCCCGGTCTGCCTGCAACTGGTTGTAGGTTCGAATTTCTTTGCTTGGCTCCCTTACAACTTCATGGCTTCAAGCTAACTTATTGTGGATGTACCAGCCATCATGGCGCTGCGGAGTGTGAATGTCATAGCCAGTTGGATGTTTCTTCCGTGATTCACCTGGGCTGCCAGTGTACTGTCGTTTCAAAATAAATTTACCCAAGTGTTTACTCGCGCTCTTGACTCCCTCTTTATTCAACAAACTGTTACGTTTGGTCTTTTTAGGTTCACTTCTTGATGTCATCAAATACACACAAAGTAAGCGAGATGTTTCGTACGGAGTGTTCGATGAGAATACCATCGCAACGATATTGAGAGACGTATTGCGAGGATTGGCATACATCCATGAAAATGGTCTCGTACATCGGTATGTGCACACGAATCTTTCAGTTTTGTTCATGTAAAGACTACACACGAAACTATTTTTATTACCTTTCGTCTGTGATTTATCGAATGCACCTCACTGTTTGCTTTACTTTATCATGAAACTTGTTTGAGTTGATTCAGTTCATTTCGTTTTTAATACATATTCATTAGTTCCTCCGAATTTCTTTAGCGCAGTTTACAGTTATAATCGATACTGCAGACGGCATGTTTATCAAAACAATCGAACCCACCGATCGATCATGATGTTTATCTTACTGAGAGTCCATTTCATGCTTATGAAAGCAGTTCGGGCATCCCTCAGTGGTATAATTGAGAGTGGATGTTACGGTGAGCTGATTTTGCCCCCCCCTCGGACACCTTGAATTTTTTCCTATGGACGTTCATTCCCTTCTTTTTCTGAGTAAACTCTACCCATTTATCGTGGCGGATTGTTTTCACTGGTGCCAGATAACAAAAACCCAATCCCGCTTGATGCGAAGGGACTGTGATTTATATAAGCTGGAAATAGTTGTTAGTTTGGAGGCAACAGCGACCACGGGACCTCGGGGAACTCCTCCATCTCATACTTTCCTCCTCATCTTGCAAGAGACAGTCATCAGAATGCGCACTATATAAAAAAATGAAAAAAGGATTCAATCTAATACGCTCGTGGGTTGGATGGAGCGAGCATGTAAGCAATTCAGAGGTAATGATTCTATGAAGAATTCCTTGCCCCACCAAAATTAAGATTATTTGGCTTTGCTGGTTAAAGCATGTATTGCGCACGCCCCACCATCGTCTACCGCACCGCGCCTTATTCACAGTCGTGGCTCCAAGTTGGAAGGAACCACATGGAGGNGAAATGAGGCATGAAGAAAAGCACAGAACGAGTAGTTAGAATAGGTGTCTCTCGTCTTCCAGTTTGGGGTCCAAAAGACTGTTACTGGTTGGTTCGAGACACTGAAGGATATGGCGACTAACCGACAGCAGTGGCGTTTTTCTTATCATTTCTTATCACGTAAGAATGTTTGAAAAGGTATATATATGTATATATATACATATATATCACATCTGATGCCAGACTATGTGCCAAAAAAGTCATGGCACAATAATCTTTATTAAAAAATAAACGTTCCATGATTTGCATTTGGGCCGAATACTGCCATGTTGCCCAGGTCAAGGCAGGTGAATTTTCTTGGGGAATCCACAACCGGAGCCCTTGGCTCGCCAAATCCTGACCCACAAGGCAGCGGGGCGGTGTGTGAAAACTGCAATCCGTTGGGAGCCGGTGTCCAGTTCATCGGATCATATGCCCTTCGGAGGTCCAAGCTGTTCAATACACCTCGATGCCCCATCGAGTCGGTGACCACTGCCACAACCAGGAAGTTGTGTGTGTAATTCGTACGCTTCCTCATTGTTGGTTTAGAATCAGGGTTTTTGGCCACTCCCCTAGGTGAGCTGCCAGTGGCTCACCAACCCGTTTATAGCTCCGGATGTCGGCTTTTCGTTCTCTCACTTTGGTGGGAAACACGTCCGCCACGGGAAGGCTTTGAGTAGGACTTCCTCAGCAGAGGCTATTTGAGACGCTCGGTCGTATGGGAGCATTTCGCGAGGTGAAAGAGAAGGATGACCAGTCGCAACCCTAGACAAAGGTTGTGTACTCTAATTGACTATGGAGGTTCATTTCCTTTGCCTTCCTCCAGTTAGGCGCAATCCCTCTCCATCTTGTTTTTTATCACTTGATTTGTTCGCATTGTGAGCTTCGCAACGATCAGTGAAGTTCGCTTCACTATAGCTCGCTGTACGATGATGATGATGATGAATCCAAGACAGCGGAGTTGAAAAGATGAGTGTAACATTTCGATCAGCTTCTGAATGGCGCGCAATCCCAGCTGATCGAACGGACAGTGGAGATCGGCTTCTTCAGATCTGTGCTGATCACATAAAGTTCCTATCAAACAACGACTCACGAG